AGGAAGGGGGTATAAAATCTCCTCAGTCATTCCATTAAGTCATTCTATAAGGCTAAATAAGGCTAATACCTTATGTATTAAGAAAGAAAAAAAGCAAGAAGTATAAATATGAAAATGTAGAGACATAACTGTCATTGTTGGCAAACAACAGGTGAATCCAATTAGAATAAAACAAGAAAATCAACTCAAAACCCTTATAACAATTCATAGGATCAGTAAAGTGGAAGATGAATAAGGGAAAACAATCACTTTCCTGTACTGGCAATTATTAATTTGGTCAGCCGGCTGTAACAAAATACGAAATGGGTGGCTTAAACAACAGACATTTCCTTCTCACACATCTGGAGACTGAAAGTCTGAGATCAAGGTCCTAGCCAATTCAGTTCCTGGTGTAAGCCCTCTACCTGGCCTGCAGACAGCCACCTTATTGCCGTGTCCTCATATGATGGAGAGAGAGAAAGCTCTAGTCTCTCTTCTTGTTCTTATAAAGACACTAATTTTATCATGGGGGCCCCAGCCTTATGACCTGATCTAAGCCTTATTACCTCCTGAGGCCTCAACTGCAAATTTATTGAGGTTTAGGACTTCAACATATGCATTTGGTGGGGACATATTCAGTCTATAATAGGTAATTAGTAAATATAATAGAAAAGAGCACATGCTATCACCTTTTCTCATCATATTATATTGCAAATTTTATCCAATGCAATAAGAAAAATAAATCAAAGAGTAAGAATTACTCAACAACAAGAACAAAAAAAAAACCCACAATTTTAAAATGGGCAAAAGAGGGGCACCTGGGGTGGCTCAGTCAGTTAAGTGTCTAACTCTTGATTTAGGCTCAGGTCATGATCTCAGAGTCGTGGGATCAAGCCTCGTCAGGCTCCTTGCTCAACAGGGAGGCTGCTTGGGATTCTCTCTCTCCCTCTCCCTTTGCCCTTCCCCTCTACTCTTTCTCTCTCTAAAATAAATAAATAAATAAATCTTCTTTTTTTTAATGGGCAAAAGACTTGAATAGACATTTCTCCAAAGAAGATATATGAATGGCCAATGAGCACATTAAAAGATGCTTAACATCACTAATCATAGGGAAATGTAAATCAAAACCACAGTGAGCTACTACCTCATATTCATTAGGATGGCTACTATCAAAAAACAAAACAAAACAAAACAACTAGTGTTGGCAAGGATGTGGAGCAATTGGAACCCTTATGCCCTGTTGTGGGATATAAAAAGGCACAGCCATTGTGGAAAACTGTATGATGGTTCCTCAAAAAATTAAAAATGAAATTACCATATGATCCATCAATTCCACTTCTGGGTATATATCCCAACCAACTGAAAGCAGGATCTAGAAGAGATATTTGTACACCCATGTTCATAGCAGCATTATTCACAGTGAGTAAAATGTGGAAGCAACCCAAGTGCCCATTGACAGGTGAATAGATAAGCAGAATGTGGTGTATACATACAATGAAATATTATTCAACCTTGAAAAAGGAAGGAATTCTGCAATATGCTACAACAGGGTTGAACCTCGAGGACAGTATGCTAAGTGAAATAAGCCAGTCATAAAAAGACAAATACTGTGTGATTCCACTTATATGAGGTACTTAGTCAAAACTGTAAACACAGAAAGTAGAATGGTGGTTGCCAGCGTCTTGGGGAGAGGAGAATGGAGACTTATTAATTAATAGTCACAGAGTTTCAGTTTTACAAGATGAAAAGAATTATGGGGATGGATGGTGATGATGGCTGCACAACAATGTGAATATACTTAATATCACTAAACTAAACACTTAAAAATGGTTAATATGCGGGGCACCTGGGTGGCTCAGATGGTTAAGCGTCTGCCTTTGGCTCAGGTCATGATCCCAGGGTCCTGGGATCAAGTCCCACATCGGGCTCCCTGCTCAGTGGGGAGCCTGCTTCTCTCTCTCTCTCTCTCTCTCTCTCTGTCTCTCATGAATAAATAAATAAAAATCTTTAAAAAAAATGGTTAAGATGGTAAATTTTATGTTATGTGCATTTTACTACAAAAAAGGAAAATAAATAAAACCTCTTTTAAAAATTAATTGCCCATGTAAACTATAGAAGAGAAACTGCAGAACTAAGAGAATTCAGCAAATCTTCTATAGATAAAGTCAACTATAGTCCCTCTACATCACTTGGAAATAGGAAATATAACTTCTTAAATACACTGCTTATAAAAGCAACATTTTGTTTATTTATTTTAAATAAGATACCTAGAAAGAATCTAACAAAAGATATACATGGGGGAATTATAAAATTTTCTTAAAAACATTAAATAAGGCCTAAATCAATGGAGAGATGTGCCACATGGATGGCTGGGAGACTTAATGTCCCAAAAATATAAAATTCTCCAAGTTAATTTATGCAGTTCCAGTAAGACTCTCAGTGAGATTATTCATGGAACTTGATGAGCTGATTGTAATGTAAGAAAAAAGGAAAATGAATAACTAAGACAACTTTGAAGAACAACAAGCTGGAAGGACTCACTGTTTATAAGAGAGCAAGACTTAATATAAAGCTTCGTGATTAAGACAATGTGGTACCAACAGACAAATAAACCTACAGAATAGAATGAAAAGGCTAGCACGAGACCCACACATCTATGGAAATATAATTTATGTCAGAAGGGATAGTTCAAATCAGTAGGTAAAGATGAACTACTCAATAAATTGTATTGAGAAAATTGGTTATCTACACAGGAAAAGATAAAACATATTTCTACCTTATATCAAGCACAAAAATGAATTCCAGATTAATGGGTTATTACATAAAATAAAATTTTAGGATTTTTAGAATATATAGGAGACTATCTTTATGACCTAGAATAAGGAAGGATTTCTTCAAACAAGACGGCAAGAAGCACAGTGAAATTTAAATTTTAGATTCATCAGGGGTACCTGGGTGGCTCAGTCGGTTAAGTGTCCAACTCTTAATTTCAGCTCAGGTCATGAACTCAGGGTCATGGGATCAAGCCTCCTGTCTGGCTCCGCACTCAGTGGGGAGTCTGCTTGAGATTCTCTCTTTCCCTCTGCCCCTCCCCAAGCTCACTCTATCTCTATCTCTCTCTCTCTCTCAAATATATAAATAAATCCTTAAAAAATAAAATAAAATTGGGGCACCTGGGTGGCTCGGTCATTAAGCATCTGCCTTCGGCTCAGGTCATGATCTCCAGGTCCTGGAATCGAGCCCCATGTGGGGCTCCCTGCTCAGTGGGGAGTCTGCTTCTCCCTCCCCCACTCCCCCTGCTTGTGTTTCCTCTCTCACTATGTCTCTCTCTGTCAAATAAATAAATAAAATCTAAAAAAATAAAATAAAATTTAGATTCATTAAAATAAATAGGCTTCACCATAAATAAGGCTGTAGACAAGCCACAGACTTGAAGAAGGTACTTATTATGCATGTAACTGACAAAGGATTAATGGAAAGAATATATAAAAACAAACCACAAATGAACAAGAAGACAAATAACCCAAGAGACAAACAGACTAAAATATGAACACATAGTTCAACAGAAGATGAAATAAAAATTCTTAACTCATTAATCATTTAAACCCAAATTAAGACAGCAATGAAATATCATTTCACACCCATCATATGAGCAACATTTTTTAAAATTCACTAAGACAAAGTGTTGACAAGTCAAGGGGGCGCCTGGGGGCTCAGATGGTTAAGCGTCTGCCTTCAGCTCAGGTCATGATCTCCAGGTCCTGGGATCGAGCCCCATGTGGGGCTCCCTGCTCAGCAGGGAGTCTGCTTCTCCCTCTCCCTCTGCCTCTCCCCCTGCTTGTGCTCTCTCTGTCTCTCTTTCTCTCAAATGAATAAATAAAATCTTAAAAAAAAAAAAAAGAGTTGACAAGTCTAAACTCATAGAATCAGAGAGTTAGAAAAGGAGTTACCAAGAGCTGGATGGGGTGGGGATAGGGAGAAGTTAGTAGAAGGCACACACTTCCAGCTATAAGATAAAGAAGGTCTGAAGATCTAAGTGTAACATAGTGATCATAGTTGATAACACTGTATTAGATACTTGAAATTTGCTAAGATCTGAAATGTGCTCATCAAAAAAAGATAAATATGTGAAGTGATGAGTGTGTTAATTAACTAGGTGGGAGGAGTCCTTGCACAATGTAGCGTTGAATCAAATCGTCACGACGGACACTTTAAATATCTTACAATTTTATTTGCCAATTATACCTCAGTAAAACCGAAAAACAGTTGACAGGTCTGCAAAGCAATGGCATTTGTCCTGCACTGATGACAGGAACATAAATTGCGCAAACCCTTGAAGAACCAGCAAAACTAGTGAAAGTGAAAACATACCTACTTCACCTGGCAATTCCACTTTCTAAGCAGATAACCAAGGCATAGACCTGCATGCTGATTGCAGGATTCTTTGTAATAGCAAAAAAGAAAGGAGAAACCTTTAACAGGACAGCAGGTTTTTAAAAATGGTATATACAGGGCACCTGGGTGGCTCAGTCGGTTAAGCATCTGCCTTCGGCACAGGTCATGATCCCAGGGTCTTGGGATCAAGCCCCACATCAGGCTCCCCGCTTAGCGGGGAGTCTGCTTCTCCCTCTGCCTCTGCTCATGCTCTCACTTTCTCTCAAATAAATGAATAAAATATTTTTAAAAAATTGGTATATACATAGAATATATTGCTATGTGGCAGTTAAGATGAATGAACTAGAGCCTAATGTATAAATCTCCAAAACTTAACATGAATGGCAAAAAGAGGGACTTTTCAGAAGAGGTGGTTTGTGACCATTTATGGAGTTTTAAAACATTCAAAACAATGCTATGTATCTTCATATTTAGTAAAGGTATCAGAGCATTCAAGGAATGATAAATACCAAATTCAATTTAGTAGTTCCCTCTGGGGAAGGAGGATGGGGCAAGGGGTGAGGGAAAGATCCAGAGATATGAGATGGGCCCCACAGGTGGTGGACTCTCTCACTGCTCTCCCCTAGGTGTGCCACAGGGGAGGCATGGCAGGATATCATGCTGGCCTGCATGCCAGGGAAGAAGTGTGCCCCCGAGTCGGAGCCCAGCAACAGCACAGAAGGCGAAACACCCTGTGGCAGCAGCTTTGCGGTCTTCTACTTCATCAGCTTCTACATGCTGTGTGCCTTCCTGGTAAGCCGAGGTGGGACTGAACAGCCACAGGTCGTGAGTGTGCAGTTCAAGGCAGCCCAGGCCTTCTATCTATCTCTGCAGCTTGCAGTCAGAGGAACCAGCTTGGAAAGACTCAGGAGCAATTTCCAACCACTAGACAAGGGCACAAAACCCTAGGCAAGAGCGAGCCCAACCAGCACCTTTCTCGTCTCTTCTTGGCTTTTGTCATGGTGGCATTGTCCCGGCGACAGAAGGGATGTGTGTGTGGAGGCCTAGAGGCAACCGATATGTTTTGGACACTTTGATGAGTAGTGTAGGGAAGGATGGTGGAGAAAGCTGCCCTCTGTCCTTGGCAGCCCTATCCAGCAGTTTGGTATGAGGGAAGATGTCCAGTCCACATGTGGGGTTCATCCCATACCACTCTGAGGGGACCTGTGTCAGGTTGATGCCCAAGAGACCCAAGTTCCAGGGGCTGATGTTTTAAATGGTGAATATAGCTGGTCTTTAGAAATGTGGGCTTCTACCACATATGGCACTGGCTGGCAAAGTGAATTCAAGTGGCAAGAAACTCATCATACCTCTGTTCTCTGCAGATCATCAACCTCTTTGTAGCCGTCATCATGGACAACTTTGACTACCTGACAAGGGATTGGTCAATCCTTGGTCCCCATCATCTGGATGAATTTAAAAGAATCTGGGCAGAGTATGATCCTGAAGCCAAGTAAGTTCCCAGAGGGAAACACTGATTCTCAAAGCCCAGAGGACACTATGTGACCATACCTATAGAAGAGGTTCAACACAGGTTAGCATTGGGTAGATCAGTTAGAAACACTGAATTGCACCTGACCCCAGGGTCAAGGGTCAAAGGCCAGTAATAGGAGGCCAAGCATCTTTGGCTAAGTCAAGAGCATATCTATTTTCAGTTGGGCAGAAAGACGGGAGATCCTAGTGTCAGGAATAACTAGTAAGTATTCAAGTTAAAATGTTTAGAGTCAAGCAGATCTCACCTCTATTCTCACCTTGGGTTCAAGGATACCCTCATTGGTCAATCACATTTGGTTGACAATAAATGCCTTTTGGTCAGATGGTTAGATTGCAGCAGCAAGTATATGTGAAAATCTCATTGCACTACCCCAAGTCCCTTCCACCTTGAACATAGCACTGGTGGAAAATTGCTCATTAAAATCTAAACATGTGGGGTGCCTGGGTGGGTCAGTTGTTAAGCCTTCGGCTCAGGTCATGATCCCAGGGTCCTGGGATCAAGCCCCGCATCAGGCTCCCTGCTCAGCAGGAAGCCTTCTTCTCCCTCCCCCAATCCCCCTGCTTATGTTCCCTCTCTCGCTGTCTCTGTCTATCAAATAAATAAATAAAACTTTAAAAAAAAACAAAATAAAATAAAATCTAAACATGTATATATTGGTTTTGGAGTTTCACCATGCAATTCTGCAACTTTGCACTGAGTTTGACCAATAGGGCGACAGCTATGGAGAGCCTGGTACATGAGTCCTGGGCTGCAGGCTGAGACCATGGCCCTCTGACTGATCTTTCCCTCCTCCCCTTCCTCTTTTAGGGGTCGTATCAAACACCTAGATGTGGTGACCCTGCTCCGACGGATTCAGCCCCCACTGGGTTTTGGGAAGTTGTGCCCTCACCGTGTGGCTTGCAAAGTAAGAGACCTGGGTTCATAGGGGAAAAAGAAAATATGGGAGGGAAGAAGCCTATTTGTCTTGTGACCTTGGTCAGGCCATTTTATGTGCTAAAGAAATGAGCCTGAGCCAGATTATATTTTAAGGTTCCTTCCAACAATAAGTCCTCAGACTCCATAAAGGAAAACTGAAGTGAATGCCTCATGATCCAACAAGCCACATGCCCAGTCCCATCAGGCTGTACCACCTAGGCATCCTGGAAGACTTCCAGCCAAGGACGGATGGATTAGGGGTTCCCTTCCTGGGATCAGAAGGTTATTACAGGGTCCATGCATCAGCTTCAGGGACCTGTAAAGCCCTAAAATTATGTACAAAATCACTGAAATACAAATTGCACCAGGGAGAGGATCCATCATGTTCATCAAATTTCTAAGTGAGTCCAAGACCCTATAAAAGTTAAAGACAAGATAGGCTCTTTAGACCCAACTCCTGCTCATGTAGCCCTCACATGATCCTGAGAGTGAGCACCCCTTAAATTGTGTGCCCAGGCACCTCCCTTACCTCACTGTAATCCCAACCAGATAACCCCACAGTAGCTGAAGAGTATTGTTTCTACTCTATCCCCTCTTCATTTTATTCCCATTTCCACCATTCTGTACTCCCTGTTGGAATAGCAATGAGCCAAAAGGGGTTGGGGAAAGTGAGGTAAGAGAGCTGTATAGAAGAAGCACAAATAGAAAAATTCAACTCCAGATAACCCACTCATGGGAAATGGAGAACTGAATTGTGCTCTGTTTTACTCAGTGTTTTCTCACTTAAATCTCCACTTTGTTCCCCCCCCCCCACAAAAAAAGATTTTAGAAGATTTCCAAGGTTACAGAAGATACGAGGTGAAAAAAGCACAAATTAAATGTAAAGTCAAAGCACAATGGACAAAAGAGCAGGGACAAGTGTGGCCTGCATGAGGTGATATAGAGCATCCATCATGGCTCCAGATGGGCCTGGACAGGCTACCAATTGGGTGTTCAGCTTCCCAGTGACTGCTCCACAATTCACACTGTCCATGAGAGTCAAGAAGATCCAGTCACTCAGGAAAATTATAACTCTGCTTGGCACTATGATTAATAAGAGGACACCATGTGATCTAACAAATAACTTCTTTGACCACATCTTGAGAGCAAATGCCAGAATGACTTTCATGGTGATCTTTCTCATAATTACTCTGGTGTGTGCTGAAGGCCCCACACCAGGGCACAATGCAATGGCAGCAATTTGGGGTGATGAGAAAGGAGGGAAAAGGGCAATTCAATCTTACCCAGTCAACAAGCTTTTGACCCAGCTTGATGCAGAGGTATGTTTTTCAATATACAGAAAAGAAGATACACTGCACCTCCTTCATGCAAACCTACCATTACTGTCTCTCTTATCAGGGCTTTGGATGAATGCTGGCTGGCAGGTGGGCTCCTGGCAAGTGCCTGGCATGCAGCTGCCCTTTGTTGCCAGTAGAGAGCACACCCATATGCCTGAGTAGACATTTGAGCTGAGGAGGGCGTTGGGTGGGCTTAACATCCTTTTGTGAAAGCAAGGGTCTAAGAAGGACAAACTCCATTCCTCCCTCACTCTGTGTGGAACGGTGAGAGTACTTATGGCAGAGCTGAAATTCTCCCCAGAAGAGATTTTGAATACATTTTAGTGACCCATGCCTCAAACCCCTACCTGCTCCTGACATATGCACACAAGTTTGAGGGCTCCCTCCGAAAATTCTCCTGCCATGGTGGTTCTGTAGGTCCTTTGAGAACTGTTTGCTATAATCACCAGCTTTGCCTCCTCTTCCCCTCCAGCGCCTGGTCTCCATGAACATGCCTCTGAACAGTGATGGGACAGTCATGTTCAATGCCACCCTATTTGCCCTGGTCCGGACAGCCCTGCGAATTAAAACAGAAGGTAAGGGTCATCTGAGGGCTACTGAGAGAGCCACTCAGAAGATCTAGCAGACTACCCAAACAGCTTGCAAAATGCTTCCAGGATCTTCCCATTCTACGTAGTATCAGGGCAGTGGTTCAGTGATAACCTTCACATCCAGGGATGTTGAAGAGGCCTGGCCCACTCTTGTTTCCTTTGCTCCTTCAATGGCCTTTTGGTCTCTAGCTTATTTACTTTGAATTTTAGCCTCCCATTAACTTCTAAAAATTATTCTGGGTGATATCTTGAAGTCATAGCTTATAGTTCAAAAAGCAGAAGGTGATTAGTGTTACCTAAAGCAGGGCTAAGCCCCATCTAAATGGAATTTTACTAACTGTGTGGATCTCTCAAATGCTTAACTTTCTTTTTTAAATTAGAACTGTCAGAAAGGGGTCATATTGGCAAATGGTGACTATGGTCAAAGTCATCACATACAATTGTACAGGCTGTGCCTGGATCAAGGTGCTCAGCCAGCCAACAGGTATGGGCTAAGATCTCACCTGTGCTCTTCTGGTTGGGCCTTGCTCCCTCAGGGCTGTGTTCACCTGAAGAGATGCCTTCTGGTTTGCACAAAGTTACCCTATGGGCTAGCAGCAGCCTTGGCTGAGATAACCTGCTGTCCTTATAACTGATAAGTATTTCTGAGCCATTCTGTTGAAAAAGCTATACAGAATATACCTAAGAAGGTGTGATTGCTCTCCAAGAGCTTCTAGCTTATTATAGTGTTTTACAGAGTGTGGTCAAAAGACCACCTGCCTCAGATTCAGCTGTTGAAATTTGTTTAAAATGTGATAAGTCATTTATTCTCTCTACTTCAGCTCCTTCATTTGTAAAATAAGAAAGATAATGACGTGTGGAAATTCAGTTCAGTGAATAATCCAGCAGAGAAGTGCCTTTTCTCAGTTAAATCCTTCCACAAAATAATAGAAACATCTAAAATGAAGGAAAATAAGAACCAGGCCAGCAAGACACATGTTAAAATAATGAGCTAATCTTTACAAAATTAAAAATAGTTCAAGTTATGCTGCTGAACTAAAGAGAAACAAGGCTAAGGGAGGCGGTCCAAGATGCTGGCATAGGAAAACCCTGAACTCACCTCCTCCCAAGGACACACCAAATCTAAACCCACATATGGAGCTATTCATCTGGAAAAACTGAGTGCTGATTAAACAACTTCTATACAACAAAGGTTAGAGGGACCACATAGAGAATGGCAGGAAAGATGAAGACATGGCAACCATGGGAAACCCTCCCCCCCCAAACCAATGTGACAACCTGCAGTGAGGAAAGATAGCACTGGGGGCCCTATACCCAAACTCACCCACCCTGGGACACAGGAAAAACAGTGGCTTAAAGGGCAACAGGACTATAAGTGAAGGAAATCCATTTATGTCCACTAAATGGCAGGGAAAGGAACTACTGGAACTCTCTCCAGGTTGGAGTTACCAACAACACAATTGTTTACATTCCCCTCCACCTTGCTAGTGCAGATGGGAGCAGGGACCAGGTGTTCTATTTGGCCTGCTAGGGTTACTCCAGTGAGCCCTAGGCCCTTAGCCCACACCAGCTCTCCCCAAGGTAACCTGCCACCCATGCCTGCCCTAGTTCCAACCACCCTACCAAGTTGACCTCCAGTCTCAGTGTACCCCAGGATACCCCCAGCCAGTGCCTGCTCCAGCTCTAGCCATTCCATCAGGGTGGTCCAGGCATAGTGTGCCCCAGGATTCCCCCAGGCCATGTTGGCTTCAGCTCTGCCCAGCAAGCCAAAGCTTCCAGGCACACGCAATGTACACAGGGGACATTCCTACACAAGGCCACTCTTTAAGACTGAGAGTGGTGGCAATTCCACCTAATTTGTAGAGACTGACACTGAAAGTCAAACAAAATGAGGAGACAGAAGAATATGTTCTAAATGAACATATAAAACCCCAGGAGGAAAAACCCTGATGAAATGGAGATAGGTAACTTACCAAAGTAAAGTAATGGTCATAAAGATGCTCACCAAACTCAGGAGAAGAATGGAGGAACACAGTAAGAACTTCAACAAGGAGTTAGAAAATATAAGAAAGTACCACAGAGGAGTCACAGAGCTGAAGAATATGCTAATTGAATTGAAAAATACACGAGGAATCAACAGCAGATTCGATGATACAGAAGAATGGATCAGCAATCTGGAAGACAGAACAGCAAAAAGAAAAAAGAATTTTTAAAAATGAGAATAGTTTTAACTTCCCTAATCTGGGGAAGGAAATAGGCATTCAAGTCCAGGAGGCAGAGAACCCCCCTCAAAATCAAAAAATATAGGTCAACACCTCAACGTATAATAGTGAAGCTTGCAAATTTCAGAGATAAAGAGAAAATCCTGGAAGCAGCTCGGGACAAAACGTTCTCAACCTACGAGGGTAGAAACAAGGCTAGCAGCAGACCTCTCCACAGAGACCTGGCAGGCCGGAACGGACTGGCATGATATATTCATTGTGCTAAGTGGGAAAATATGCAGCCAAGAATAGCTGCCATTCAGAATAGAAGGAGAGATAAAGAGTGTCCAGGACAAACAAAAGCTAAAGGAATTTGTGAACACCAAACCAGCCCTGCCAGAAATGTTAAAGGGGATCCTTTGAATGAAGAGAGAGCCCAAAAGTAACAAAGACCAGAAAGGAACAGAGACAATCTACAGAAACAATGACTTTATAGGTAATACTTCAGATGGCACTAACTTCTGATCTTTCAATAATTACTCTGAATGTAAATGGACTAAATGTTCCAATCAAAAGACATAGGGTATCAGACCAAGTAAAAAAAAAAAAAAAAAAACCCCAGGCGGTGCGTCGCGGCGCATGCGCGGCTGAGCGGAGAAGCCGGCTCGGGGGCGCCATGGTCTTCCTCTCCGTGCAGCTCTGGCTGCGGAGCCGCCTCACTGACCGCGGGTCCAGGAGGTGCTGCAGCATGCGTGGCACTTCCGGGGAAGGAAGAATCGGTGCTACAAGCTGGCGGTGAGAGCTGTGATCAGAGCGCTTGTGAAATGCACCAAAGCGCGAAGACTGAAGAAGAGGAACATGAGGACACTCTGGATTAATCGAATTACAGCTGCCTCCCAGGAACACGGCCTGAAGTACCCAGCATTCATGGTCAATTTAATTAAGGGCCAGGTGGAGCTCAACAGGAAAGTACTTGCGGATCTAGCCATCTATGAACCAAAGACTTTTAAATCTTTGGCTGCTTTGGCCAAAAGGAGGCGACAGGAAGGATTTGCTGCTGCCCTGGGGGATGGGAAAGAGCCCGAAGGCATATTTTCCAGCGTGGTGCAGGATCACTGAGGGGGATTCCAACACTGCCTGCCCTTTGCATCTGAGTATCTTAGGAAAAGGTTTTTTTTTCCCTCGATGATCACAGTAGTAAAAATAGGGTCTAAGAATTATTTGTCAGCACTGCGTGTTCAACAATTATTAATTTGCATTTTAGTAACAGGTTTAAGAGGCCCCTTTTTCCCTCACTGGGACAGATCTAGAAATCTTACAGACTGTACAAATAAAGCTCATGTGGTGTTCAGCGGGAAAAAAAAAAAAAAAAGACCCATGGATATGCTGTCTACAAGAGACTCATTCTAGACCCAAAGACACCTCCAGATTGAAAGTGAGAGAGTAGAAGACCATTTATCATGCAACAGACATCAAAAGAAAGCTGGAGTAGCAATCCTTATATCAGACAAACTAAATTTTTTTTGTTATTATGTTATGTTAATCACCATACATTACATCATTAGTTTTTGATGTAATGTTCCATGATTCGTTGTTTGTGTATAACACCCAGTGCTCCACGCAGAACGTGCCCTCTTTAGTACCCATCACCAGGCTAACCCATCCCTCCACCCCCCCCCCTCTAGAA